TACTGTAATAATATTTATCTAAATATAGAAAAAGCATTTTACTGTAGACAGTTTCACACTAATTACTTTTAATTTTAAAAAGGCACTAGATCTGATAATTAATCACATTAAATTACAGCTAAAAGATGTCAAAGCAAATTTTATAGAATAGTATCATTTTCTATGCATTATACTGTAAAATTTTATAGCAAAATCATTCTGAATTATTTTTCTCCATTTATTTACAATTTGCAGAATGAATTTGGTTCAGATACATTGTCATACAAGACAATTTCTACTCCAAAATTTCAGAATATTAGAAGGTTTAGCTCATGACTATTGCACAGAACTATTAAAACTATTTCATTTTATTTTTAAATTTATTTTGTTGAAAAATTTGACAATTTATCAATACAAAATATACCAAGATACTCAAGCAAAGTTTTCTTTTGACCATAAGCAGTAGACTTGATGACTCCATGACTCAGTCGTGATTGTTGTAACCCTGCTAAGCATCATAAAATAACAAGTGAGGAATAACATTTGAAACCTTAAGTAAGTAAATTAATGGCAAGTAATAAGTCTGTCAAACATCATCAAGTCTACTTCTTAGAATAATCAAGTGAAAAGTTTACTTATATCAATTTATTCATTCTGTATTCTTACATTTCTTTTTTACTCTTCTACTCTTCTCAGTTTTGATCTATTAAATTCTCATCAGCTTGGCATAAGAATGAAATTCTGCTATAATAAATCTGTTGTTTATAATTCTTCTATATTTTTGAAATGTGGTGCCATTACGTCGTCTAGCTAATATGAATAACTACATTCATTCAAATATCTTAAAATAAGTAACATATGTAAAATAACTTTTATCATTGTTTTTGTTTTCTTTGATAGAATTAAATTTGTAAACTTTCAGAGCTTTTATTAGATGACTAATTTCTATACATTTCACTAAATATTTACAGGATCCGGGTTTGGATTTCGTCCGATCGGTCAGGGTGCAGGAGGATCGGGAAAGGAATTTAGCGAGGCACTCGGAGGAAACATACCACGAGAACAATTTACAGGTATTGCAATCTTGAGAGATTATTAATTTACAGACAAATGATATTATTGTTTATTATTAATAACTTGAGAGATATATTATGTGTTATACAGCTACAGAATACATATAGATGATTTAAAAAGAATTAAATGATTGATAAATTAATAGAATGTGTTTACAATATAAAATCTAGTTGCAAAAATTCAAAGTAAAGAACTGTTGTTAATAATGGTTTTTATGAAGCACTTTGTGGAAAGATACTTAATTTGTGGAACAATGTAACATTGCTGAGATCTTCATAAAAGTCTCAATAAACTCTATACAGAGATAAGAAAAAATGGAAAAGTTTATAGAATAATATAATGTAAATTAATATTAAAAGAACTGACTTTTTTTTCCATAATAAAAAAAATTATGTTGGAAGAGTAGTACTAATGAGAACCTACAGGTGGGAATGCAATTTAGGGTTTTGATACATAGAAAGGCCCAGATAGAATCTGTGTATTTACTAGCACACTGTACCATAATATGTATAATAAAATTTNAAAAATATTTAAATGCTAATAACTAGTAAAATTGTCATTAAGTCCGACCCTACTGGAGATACACAAGACCCTCTTTATCCCCCCACCCTCTCGACCTTTAACCACCAAAATTTAATAACACCAATCTCCCTAATAACCAAACCTCCCCCAATTTTTTTTTTTTTCAATTTCTCGACGTTTCGAGGTGTCCTAAGTCCAAAAATGTAAAAATCTGGAGGGGTCATTCATATTTTAGAGAATGTAAGCAAAATGGTGACTGTTTTGAAGACTTCAAATTAAAAATTTCTGTCGCCTCGTTGTATAATAATTCACATAAGCCAAATAAAAATTCTAAGTTTAAACAAAAGCCTTTCACACATGAAATGTATATTCTGGAAGAGACTCCAAAACAAAGAAGAAATTCTCCTTTCGTGTTCGTCGGCGTGAAATTCTTAAACCACGAAAATTGTTAAGCTATAATCTATATAAAATTAATAAACATCTCGCTTCAAATGTTAATATTAATTAAATGTAAACAAGAACTTTTAATGATGCCCTTAATGCAAATTTAATATTTTAATTAATAAATATATTCTTTCAGATAAGTTAATAAATTTTGTAAAGGAAATTTAATTCTCGGATTTAAACTTTAAAACATTTCTAAACAAAAAAATATAATTATTATTTGTCATTAAAAAATGATTTTGAAAACTAGATTAATAATATTATTTTTCAATTTAAGTTCGTTATCTATTCGACGTAATAACTGTAAAGAAAATATTTATTTGTTTAACATTAAATTTATATTAAGAGAAACATTAAGTTATTGCTTACATTTAATTAAGGTATTACTTGTTTTGATTACAATTTTACAATTATAGTTATGTAAAATATTGACATTTCTTTTTGCGTGAATCAAACAGAAGAAGAAAAGTAAGGAAATGTGTTCACGTTCAATGTATTGAATGAACAGGAAAATTATAACAAGACATCATTTAAATTATTTATTGCGACGTCGTCACGGTGCCGAGATGCAATTTTTAATCATATTTTATCTAATTTAAAATATATGCTCTCCACCTCAAATTAGTATTGGCTTGCCCCTGTACGTCATACTTTTCCTTTAACAATAGAATCGTGCCGGTCATCTATTAACTACTTTCAGGGAAAGTTTTGAATTGAAATAACGTGAACTTCTGGTTTAATTTCATATACAGTATAGTTAATCGTGGTCCTCCAGCCCCTAAGGTTTCCACATCAGGTCTTGACTTTCATCTAACTCCGTTCTCGGATATTAAGGAAAGGCAGACGGTCGGACGGACGACAATGGGAATTTATAGGTCTACAATTTTTTCAATTTGAGCTCAATAAAGCATTATTAATAATGCACGTGATATTTTCTTTAATGAAATTAAATATCTGAAAAGTTTTATCGATGATCAGTTAGAAATTTGTAACTAAACTTGTGAGAAATGTTGATAATGGTCTATCGCCTACTTCAACCAATTGACATTACGAAAATCGCATTCTGTTTCTGTAGAATATTTTTTAATAATTTGGCATCAATTTTCAAATTATCAGTCTTTCCTTAATCCCGAGAATTGAGTTAGATGGATGAAAACCGAGACTGCTCACGAACTTCCGTCCTGGACCGGAAGTCGCGTGATTTTCTGAATTGAGAGATAATTAAAAATTGTAATCAGCCACTGTGACGACGTAACAATAAATAATTGCTCTAATGTGCATATTTCCGTTCAGAATTCAAGCTAATTTTTGCAATCCTTGCGCATTTAAACTTATTCTTGATATTGTTACTCGTGGAAAAAGTAGTTTGCAATGTTACAAACATCTTAAAAATTCTCTCATTTTACAATTATCGTCGAAGGGATTTGTTCCTCCTCTTTTCTTATTAGCCCACTTCTTACTCAATTGTTAAGATAAAACATTATTAAAATAAATATATATATATCCAGTTTATTTGTAAGTGCAGTTCGATTCGACAATGTCGTACACCTTACAAGTGTTAACAACCTTTTAACAGCGATAAACTTCGCAAAGTTAACACATGTTCTTGCTAAAAAAAAAATATGTTACCAAGAGAAGGGGGAAAAAGCACACTGCTATTTATATCTTTCTCCTAGACACGCTTCTTACAGAGCCGTAATGTTTATCTCGACGACTTCTAACGGTAATATACAGAAAATTATAGATTTTCTGATGATCATTAAGCAAATCAACGCCCAGTATTCTACTTTTATCTTTAATATTGGTAACAATACGTCGTCGAACGAGTTCGACATTGTTGCAAGTGTTTGTTATTGCCTCGTTACTGGCAACTAAGTCTTTTTTTATGTCTCGAAAATGTCATGTATTTGTACCATTCTCCGTTATCAACGGTGATACTTTGCTGTTTCTTACATTACGCCTCTTTCCGTTTTGCCAAACTTTGCAAAAATGCTCGATATTTTTCCTCCGTTTCTTGGAAACTGTCCTCTATTTTGTAACTGTGGCATATATTTTTAACATTTGTTTTTTTCTAATTTCGCTAGCATACGAGTCTATTAATGTTACATCGAATAGTGTTTAAATTATAATTATTTCTGACGACGAAATCACTTTAAACGTTAAAAAATAATAATAATAAAACGTATAACGCGTATTAAATAGCTTTTTACTAATATTTCTGGTAATAAAACTATTTAAATCTCATTAAATGGCGCTTAACGAAATTTAAACGATTTAAATTAAACAGACACATTTCTTGTTAATTTGCTTATGGGGAATGTCTGCATTTTCAAGCAGAAAAATAAATAAATAAATAATTTTTTCGACATAGTTCTGCACTGATTTTGAATTCGAGCCATTTGCTTATCTTATTTTATTTTTTTAATCAACAAATTTTAAGAGATTTTAACCATAAATTGATAAATAAATTGATGATTAAATATTTTAAGTTGTTTTTCAAAATGTAGACTAAATGAGAATTATATTTCTTGAGGTAAAAAGTATCTAGCAAGTTACTTAAATCAATTCTGTATAAATTTAATAAAAAATAAAGGAGAAAATAAGGGTCATTCACCTTTTGTTCCTTTATCTGATTGAAGGGAAGGATGCTTGTTTTCGTTTCCATTTTTTTTTTTTTTTAGTTTTTGTTTAATTGAAATGCTTTATTTCTTTTATTTTATTTGTTTCTTTTTTAGTTAAAGAAAGATGTTTTAATTTCTTAACATCGTTTCGATCTTGTTCTGATAAATTGAAAATGTTATTTTAACCGCGTAAAGAGCATTTTATTTTTACTCTTTTCCGTTCGATATTCTTTACGGATTAGTCGACGAACGATTAAAAATTTTTATTTTAATACATTAACAATTTACGATTAAGAATTAATATCGATTTTTACATGTAAATATATTATGTAACACGCTTTCGTTATTTTTTCTATGCAGGTATGGATAACTTGCCGGATGGATGCGGCTGCAGAGCTTTCACTTGGGTGTTTTGCATTAGTTTAAATCTGACTCGTGTTCCAGACACGATGAAATCATCGTTGACGAAGCTGTGAGTGTGTATATGTGTACACTACATACTGGGCGGCCGAAAAAATCAGTTAACCACTGTAAATAACTATTAAATATCTGTCTTATTCAAATACTTTATTATTCGAGCATGCAAATTAAAATGTCCAAATAAATTCGGTCTACGATTAGTATAAATTGTAGACCGAATATAACAAATATATGTGTAAAATAAATAAAATACGGTTAACTGATTTTTGCGCTCTTTTGTACGTGTTCACGCGTACGTCTAGATGAAGAAAACAGAACCAAAAATCACGAATAACGTTTCACGATTTCTGCTTTCAGAATTTTGATTAACAACAGCATAACAATCGTGGAAAGGGGGTCTTTTTCACGTTATCCCGGATTAAAAGTCATGTGAGTAAAACCATTGCAGAACTAAATTTAATTTTAGCTTTACGTATTCGATTCTTCGATACGCATTCCCTAGAGATAAACGTTTTCGCTCGATCACTAACTTATAATTATTTTTATTTTGCACGGTAATTTACAATACTGTTTAACGTAAGATTTGCTTTAATTACTAAAAATCTAACGTCGAATTAAAGATGAGAATTAACGTAGGAATGCGGGAAACAAATTTACCGAAGAGAATCCTTAAATTGCTGGATATTTCTATTTAGACAAATGCCTAACAAAGCGAAATAAGAAAATTCTGGATTCGCAGTAAATTCGTATTGCAAATTTTAATTTCGAATACTTAACAATCAATGGGAAAGAATTTTATTGATTCTACTCTCGAGATTCGGGAATCTTCGATCGAAGATATTATTTTTCGTCTATTCCGTTAATTCTCTTTTGTTATAACTGATACGTGGCTTCGTGTAAAGGATTTTAGCTCTAAGTAAACGAAATAAATCTAACCAAAAGCTATCGCCATCGTCTACCAATTCATAAAAATTAAAAAGAAGCATTTGTAAAATTAATTTTATAAATGATAATAATATTAATTTTATTTGATTTTCCAGTCTACATTTCTATAGCTTTTATGTCAAAATTCTTCATGAAAGTTAAATTCCATGGGGGAAAATATTCTATTTATTATTATAAATGGATTTTCATTTATAAATCATTATTAAAATACATATTTAATGTCGAAATCTTTTTAGATGTTTGTAGGATTTTGAAACAAATTCTCCAAAGATAAATAATTTATAAAATATTTCTGAATATTTAAAAAGCTCGTTTATACCGAAACTATAAGAACCGAATATCAAATATGCAATAAGAAAATAATGCGGAAAGATTTTATTTTAGTGTAATTCTTACGAACTTCGTAAACAATTACGACGTGCGAATGTTACTATTTAGTAATTATATTTGTAGATAAATAATTGATTAGTGTAGTAACAGGTAACGTACTGTTATTCTCCATAGAGATATTGCAATTTCCTCGTACCAAAAAGTAGAAATAATGCAACTTTCCGAATTCAGAAAAGAAATTCAGTAAAATAAGACAAAGTTTTCAAACTAGAAGACAAGTTTCCAGAAAAAAATGGAAGATGATTGAAAAAATTAAGCTCAATATTTGTAAAAATTAAGAGAACGTTTCTTACCTAAGAGAAATATTTTCATAAATAGTCGCCCGTTCGCCGTAAATGGGGAAAAATTTACATATCGAAAGATATTTCTCACGTTAAATCGTAATCGGACGGAGAAACGTTTGAAAGAAATTCCTAAGCGGTCATTCGAACCATTTACCGTGAATAAACGCAAATTATATGCACGACGTATCTCATACCTATCTACTAGTCATTCGATATTTGCCGATAGAACAGGCATAATCTCTTTTCTCATAAACATCAGGGTTACTCACCAAAAGGGGTGAATGCTATTACTCGCCCCTCTCCGAGAGGTAGCGACGTCAATATAATAGCCATTCCGAATGTTAATGGCATTATGGCATTTCCTTGTATCAAAAGTGCATCAAAAGTGTCGCCAACGAGACCCGTTTCGAAGCATTATCCACGATAACATGCACGTCGTAAAAAGTAATAGCATTATAACCATTTTCGTTGGGGATGACGTTATTTTCCATCGCAGTACTACTGCGAGTGACTATCTTTAAGAAGGACAAATACATTTGAAATATCTGCCTCCGTACTCATCTCCGCTTAATTCTATACAAGACGTGTTTTCTGTTATTAGAATAATACAACTCCCGCCCAAGCCCAACTAACACTGATGCTCTAATCTACGGTGTAGAATCAATAATTACTAGCATAAATAAGAAGTTAACGTATGCGCAATTTTAGAAGCGTACGCGAAAATATTTGTAAGCATTATAGAGCACGTGATGTAATGACTTTAAACAATGAACGATTCGACAATTAAGAGAACCTCGAAACAATTTATACAATTCTAAATTTGCCATAAAATGTACTGTACAGTACTCGCGATGATTAAAAGTTTGTGTACTCTTATATACAGATTTTTCCATTTGTTTTTGCTCTATAACTTAGTTATTAAGAGTTAGGCCATCTAGGCACCAATTTCTAAGGAATTTTTGAGTGACAGTCATACGTACTAATTCTGTTAACAATTTATATGAACAAAACCAATTATATCCCGTTAACAATTTATAACGTATTTCCACAGTTATGCCGACACTCGTAGTTAAAAATCCGTAATACATTACTATAAAATTGCATGGCAGATAATTCGAAATCTGTTTTAGTTTGTCAGATTTGTACATTTATGAAATGCGTTCATAATTTGTTCGACAGTAAATCCTAAACTCGAAATTACTAACTTCAATCGACCAAAAGCTTTGCGTTAATAAAGAAAACTTTTATTATTTGCGATGCTTCTCAGTCTCCTAATCTTGACATTTGTGTCTTATTTTATTACATTCGTTCTCTTCGCTTAAAAAGTTTGCACTATTTCTTGAACCGTTGTACTTATTTTCTGCAAACCTTCGCTTAATTAGAGACAGAGAACGTATATTGTCCGGAGACACGGAAATTGTAACACCAGTATAGCAAACGGCATTAACTGTCCGTTGTATTCGATTCTGAATTTAATACGTGTACATAAAAATTAAAATTCTTTAACTTTATATAAAGAGGAACCAGGAATGAATATCACCCCATTCTAAACGCATACATCGAGTTAAAATAAACTTCCAGACTTCCCATTTGGTTTGCGCGTGTTAATTTTAATGAAATATTATCCTTTTAATCTTAATTACAATATTTATATACACTTTTTAAAATACGAGTAGCGTCTAATTCCCTATTAAAATTTATTCAGTCAGAATTATAACAACAATGAATAATTAATGAGAAGAATAATTTATTAATATTCACTTAAAATTTACTATCACAAGCGTAATTATAAATTATTATTATTATTATTACTTTAGTAAATTTCCAAAAAAAAATTATTATTTTTGAAATTTTTAACTTTTAATAATTTTCGTTATCGTTTTAAAAATTGAACTTTGAAAAATTCTCTGAAGCGGGCGACATTTTATTTATAAGCAAAAATATTTATCTAGAAGATTTATTTGTGACTTTAGAAAAATTATTTATTTATATAACTGGATATACGGTTAGTCGGTGTAGTGATAAAAATAACACAATCGGGCCTAATAAAGATACAAATTTCATAAATTGAGACAAAAATATATGAAAAAAGCAGAAACTTTACACCGCATTATATATTTTATGAAAATGTATTCTTATATTACTCTTTATAAAACATTTGAATAATTTATTTTATATTGAAAATTATGCTTTAATGAAAACAAAAATGAAAATCGTCCATTAATGAAAGCACAATTTTCATTTATTGAATTTTTTATTTACTTTTTACAATTAAATGACATCAGATTTCCACCCCCATTTAACAGTATAATCCGGATACATAAAATAAATAAATATATAAGGTATAATAAAAGCGAGTAAAAATCATTTTTTAAAGAATCCAGCAACGAGTTGCTTAACTTTCCCGGCAACATTTGGTGGCACCATCTGATATGGTATTTTAATAAATTTTATATTTTTAACTTTTCGCCAGAATCGGCACTACTTTTGTTTAAAATTTTGAACAGTATTTTATGAAATCAATCTAATTTTAATTATAAATTGACATATTTATATTATTTAATTTAACTAAAAATAATAAAATGAATATTGTTTTCGTACAGACATTTGGAAGGAAATGGTTTACGTTACTTGCACGAAGGAGCCTTTACGGGTTTATTCAATCTTGTATTTTTGTAAGTAAATTAATTTTTAACATTAAAATCTAACTAAAATTGTTTAAAATAGAAAATATTTTTTTATCTTTTAGTTATTTCAGAATGAATTAATTCCAAAAACAAAAAGAAAATTCATTGGCATTATGTATCGTTGCAGCTTATTTCCTTAATTTAATTTTTACAATTTATAAAATGTTTAACGGCTCCAATACGTTAAACAGATGATTAAAATTGTTCGTATTTTACTTATATAACTAAAATTAAATAACTTAAAAGTGTTTCTACTGTATATTTTTCACTAATTATCGACATTTGATCGAAAATCTTCTGGTAAGAAGTGGAATCCCTCTTTTTATCGAGTTCGTATAAGGGAAGTTTCCAAAGTAATTTTTCTAACTTTAAAAATCGATAAGACGTCTACCGAGATCAATTGGAAATTGTTGCGCATGATAAAACCTAAGCAACGACGCAGAAACAAAAACCATATCTCATAAAGCGAGCGAGTTAATCAATTTTAAAAAGCAACAACTTTTCTACCACGAACAATTTTGAGTAGTCCTACGTGACAAATAACTGTCCCGTGAACAAACTTCAAGAAAACTTACTTCCAAAACCAGCAATTATTTATTGTCACATCTTCACAAAGTCCGGCTGCAATTTTTAATCATAATTTTAAAAATTTAGTTCATTTAAAATATATGCACTCCACCTCAAATTAGTACAGTACAGTACATCATACTTTTCCTTTAACAGTAAAGTCGTGCCGGTCGTCTAAATTTTCGGGGAAAATTTTTGAATTTAAATAACGTGACTTCCGGTTTGTATCGGAAGTTCGTATATAGTTAATCGGGGCCTCCTGCCCTTAAGGTTTCCATATGTGGTCTCGGCTTTCATATATCTAAGTCGAGATTAAGGAAAGCAGACAGACGAACAAACAGAATTTATAGGTCTACAGTTTTTATCAAATTGCAGCCCAATAAGTATTATCCCCTGTGTTTATAAAAAAAAATTCGTACTGTTTAAGATTCGTTATAAAATAAATTTGTGTGCGTTGTGCTCGGATTGTGAATACTCTAATTATTAAAATTTCGATAAAAACGAATTAAAAGTAAATGTTGATCTCTATCGGTTAATGAAAAATAAGTACGGGACCTATACTTTTATAAGAATTAAAATAACAACACTACCAAATCCTGCAGGTAACGAATGTGAAAATGGCATTTGAATTATTTCTTCGTTGGAAGCTACGGATAGGAACTACATAATGTCAATACATAATATAGTACAGTACATCTTGTATATACATATATAATCCCGGGGCAACATTTGATGACCCACCTAATACATAAACCCCCTTTCAGAAATTTTCCACAAAAAGTACAGGAGTTAAGCTTTAAAAAGGGTGCCCCTTACACACACTAACATCCATACATATGGAAATTTTTTGCATTTCTCGATGTTTCGAGGTGTCGTGAGTCCAAACATGTGAAAATTTGGGGATGGGATCATTTTTTGACCGATCGCCATACTTTCCCTCTGTCATATATAATAGTAAGGAAAGTAAAAGTAAGTTTTAAGTAAACCGTCTTCAATATTATTCATTTAATTACCATAATTTATTTTCGATTTCGTTCCTCTTTTTTAATATAATTAACTGACGCTGGTTAAACATGGATAAAATAGTTCAAATAGCCTTTTAATAAAATTCGTTATCGTTATCTTTGATGTTATATTTTAATTTTTTACTTTTTTCCAGATTTCTTTCGAGAAATAAAATCGAAAAACTCAATGGAGGAACTTTCAAAGACCTGAAGAAACTAGAATGGCTGTACGAATTTATTTATATTAATATTTATATAATTTTATAATTCGAATTTTATTTTATTTCCATAATTATAAATTTTTATCGGATCACTGAAATATCTTTTATTAATTTGATTCAAATCGTCATAAATTAATCTCCAAAGTACAGTACTATATTCAATTTTTCAGGGCGCGTATTTCCTAACATACAAACGAAATTTTATTTTATTTTCTGAAAATCTGAAAAATTAATGTACTGTATTTAATTTTCATTGCGAAGAATATTTTATTTTTCAATATGGAATATGTATTTACTCTTATTTAAATATAATGCTTACTTAAGCACAACAAAGAAATATAATAAAATTAATTAGGCTGAACACAAAATTTTTAGAAATGAGTTAGCAAAATTTTGAAATGTTTACACATCTTGATGCATAAAATATAAATTAAGATCAATTCAAACTAGATTTATACTTTTATTCTATATTCAATGCATCATTATAGAACACATCTGTTTAAACACGCTCACATTAAGATTTGCGACGTTTAAATATAGTTTTATTTTTTAATTTTCTTTTTAATTCAAAAACTACAAACAGATGGCCGCTTTCCAATAACATGTTTTGATAACACATATTTTAATTTCGGCTCATCGACGATGTCAACTAACACAAATTTCTCATAAGTATGACCGATCTTCTTTTACACACAAAAAAATACTACTCTATTTAGGTTATTAGTGTTCACAATTTCAAAATTCTAAACAAATATTTCAAAAATAACAATAAAATTGATTTAAAAACAAATAAACTAGATATGTCCCTCTCATAACAACCAGCCTGCCAATTAAAATTGGTTTTTTAATATCTCATTTAAGGTAATTGTTATTTTATAATTTATTTATATTATATGATTAAATAACGTCATTAAACATTCTACAATGGCGCGTTATATCTTCATGGGGTCGAGACAAATTTGAATTAGGGGGCCCATATACAGTACAGTACTTTACAGTATTGACTTTAGACATTTTTCCTCGGGGAAATTTTTGGGGGGAATATTTTCTTATATGAAATTGGTTTGGAGTCGCCTGTTTGTGGTGGCCAGCCAATTGCCCTTTTTGCCCATAGGATAACGCCCCATTGCCAAAATGCATTATATTATTATTAATAATATAATGCATTTTAGTATCGTTCCATCGTTAAATATGTTTTAAACATAAATAATAGCATATAAGACATTCTATCATAACATAATGTAATGTACTGTACTGGGCAATAATATTCATATCTATATATGGCTTATAAAACAGAATAAAGTTTTAATTTTAATATTTGTCCTTATTAATTTTCTTCCTGGCATATCATTTAGTATTAGTCTATACACAGTATAAACAGTGTCTTCCAGTAACCTAATAACAGGTCCTGACATGTTTGATGTCTATTATGATTTTATTAATGCATGGATTAATGAAATATTCGTAGAATATTTCATTAATATAACAAATGTACAGTTATTTATAGATGAACGTCGACCTATCTGTTTTAAATTATTATTAGTGTTTTATAGTACATCTATACCAATTAAATAATTATTTTAATAACTTATAAATATAATAATTTTCTTTCATATTTTTAAGGATATTAATAAATAATTCTCAATTCACCTTTTCTATTTTATAGAAGAAATAACGCAATTTCCATTCTTCGTTTCCTTCCTACAGAATAAGACATTTTGAATATTTCTAACTAATCCTTTTTATTCCCTTCTTCTTTAAATACAACTTTCTATACTTATAGAATTTTAATCAAACCTAATAAGACGAAAATATTCAAACGAAATCCTGAATCGATAATCTGATACAAAATGGCGGACAGCTATAGACACCAAAATGTAACAGACGACTAGCTTAATCGTCTGGTTTGGAAAGCGCGCGATTTTTACGTCAATTTGACGTCATCCTTTCGGTTTTACAACGGAAAACTTTAAAGAATGACGTAATATTGACGTTTTATCCTAATCCAACGTTTAGATCAAAATAATTTCTATTATTTTTTTTAATCATTTAATTAAGCATAAAATAATTTTTGAAAATATTATAAAATAACGTGAACTTCTGGTTTAATTTCATATACAGTATAGTTAATCGTGGTCCTCCAGCCCCTAAGGTTTCCACATCAGGTCTTGACTTTCATCTAACTCCGTTCTCGGATATTAAGGAAAGGCAGACGGTCGGACGGACGACAATGGGAATTTATAGGTCTACAATTNATAACTTTTAATATTGTAAAGAAAAATACACAAACTAAAAACGTTTATTTTGACGCAGGCCGACAAATCTTAATTTTAAACTGTACAGGGACTTCTCTCCCGACGAGAACTCGGTATTTACAAAGCCTTCATAGAGCTCCTCTTATTTGTCTTATATGGCACAATATGTCCTTTTTCGTAATAATTCCCAATAACCTCCTAATTTTAATTACAGATATAATGGTTTATTATTTTGGAAGAAAAATCTAAATACGGTTAAGAGATTGGACTTACCCGTTGTGGATGACCAACGTCTGTCTCAGACCTAATTTTCTAAACATGTCTATGACAGTTTCCATGGGAGTCTGATCGGTGATAGTTATGGGCGCCTGAAATTTCCAAAATTTATATCGTTTCACGAGAGTAAAAAGGATCCGAATTTCTGAGGATTCCACTTACCAAATCGACTATTTTTCTCAGTCTCAGTGGCGGAGGATCCAACCACGCCGGAGAAGCCAGGTCGGTGAAGAGTACTTGAGATTTTCCGGAAATGCCTTCGTGAGTTTTCTTTGCATTCCCTAAGATTTAAAAAGTATAACAACTGAAATTCTGGAAACACTCACAAAATTTTAACTATTTAATGGTGCCCGCCGCCGGCCGAAACTGCCAAACTGGTCGTGGCTCCACGTACTAGGCCAATGGGCTGGCCGAGTGAAGTTTTCGGCGTTTTCTTTACGTTAGTAACTGCTAAATGGGGGCCAGTTTTCCAGACCTTCCGTGAAGCATCCCCTCGACAGACCACCCATGCACAGTGGGACCAAATCCCAAAAAGCTGGCCAAAAGTCGAAAAATAGAGTTTAAGTTCCGGTAATTTCTAGTCGTGGGTTCGATTAGATAAGAGTCCGAAGGTCAAATTCTAGACTTTAGCGCCCCCTATCCCTTATACCTGCTATTGTAGTTTAGTTGAAAGGGGACCCTCAATCGAGCTAGACGCATCATGCAGTAAGCAAAGATTTCTACGCTATATTCAAGAGGGTGCCAAATCTCTAAAAATCAATCGAATTTAAATTTAAAAAATGGAATTTGCAGCTGCAAGTAAGTAGGATATTATTATGTAACACAAAACTGATAATAATACTTTATGTAATAACAGTTAACGAGTGATTTGTACGAAAATGAACGGAAGATTACAACAGAAAATTTTAAACACGTAGACAAAAGTTCATAAATTCTGTAGAGTTCTGCGACTGGACCGATCGCATGTTGTACTGTATATCAAACTATTATTGAATGAAAAAAATTAAAACTAGCTGCAACTGTGTCATTGGTGCGAGTTCTTGCAATGTAAAACATAGTTTTCTGAATTTTGTACATTAATGACGCGGAATGTTTTGCTCTTTTTCTTGAATTTGTCTGGTGTTTTGAATATTGTTTGCGTGTAGCATATAAGCTTGAAATCAAACTGTGGCAAGCGCATAGTGATAAAGAAAATAAAGAAATATGATTCTGAATAACGAATATACAGAAGGGTTTCCTTATAGAATTGGGTCTAATAGTCGATCAACCAAAGCCTGGTTTCAAACCAAACGAATCAAACCAAAGCCGAATGATGAGAATACCGCTCGACAATTTTTCGAAAACTCAAGCATTTCTGCTGCTATTACAGGGGTTGATGAGGACTTGATTATGCATTTCCACGTCATATTGCAGACAATTTCGTGGGGCCATGAAATCAATTTCATAGAATTTCAAGATTGTGCCTTCCAGACAGCTCGTTACTTTGTGCAGTTATATCCATGGTTCTGCATGCCAACTTCGGCACATAAGATATTGATTCATGGTGCAGAAGTGATAAATTCATCGGTATTGCCGATAGGGTAGATGTCTGAAGATGCTCAAGAGTCTACTAATAAATACATTAAAAAGTTTCAAGATTTTGCAAGAAAAGTTCCCGAGTGAAAACAGTGGAAGACACTATTTTACGCCTATTATTAATATCCGATCCGTTTATTTCCAGTTTGCGCGAATTACCTCGAAAAAACTCAAAGTCGTTGCTTCCAGAAGCAGTTTTATTGTTAGTTGCGCCATGTATACCAGCAAGTAGAGGAAGCTCCAGCAATTTCAAAGTTGAATCATCTGATTGTGAATCAAATTATTCTTTGGATGACGATGCATGAACTTTTAATCAACTGATTGTATGTTTTATTGTATTAAACAATATATGGATTTATTTTGTACTTTTTCTATAAAAGTGGTTCGTGTTAAATCCGTCATTTTGTTTTTATTTCAAATTTTGACTTCAGATTCATAATCAGCAATCCCAAAAACCCTCGAATACTGACTTTCAGCCAAATTGATAACGCTTTTGACTTTCGGCCAGCTTTTTGGTATTTGGCCCCACTGTGCCACGTGTCACTTTGCCATATACGAATAAAACCAAACCTATACTTAAGTATTAATATCCAGGAAACTACAACTATGGAACAGAATTTTCTGAATTATTGGGCATGTCTCGCTNTATTAAAGCAATTTCCCATAATCATTCAAAGAGTACATTTAGTTTTTACGAATCAATACATTAATTTTTTAAAACTATTTTTAACAATATTGATTCTTTGTTAGTTAATTATTGTAATTATCGTAGGTTTTCTCTGTTAGCAATAATACTATTTAAACAGTGTTATATTATAATAATTATTATTATTATTACGTAAAATTCGAATGTATATTATGTTTAAAATCATATTTTAATTTAAAAATCACGTCACTTCCTGCCCAGACCGGAAGTTCTTATATAGTTAATCGGGCCTCCCGCACCTACGCTTTCTAAATTTGGTCTCGATTTTTATATATGTAACTCCGTTCTCGAGACGGTGAAAATTTGTAGGTCTACAATTTTTTTCGAATTGCAACCCAATCAGTTTTAAAACCATAAAAATAAATTAACATTCAATAGAATCAATGGTATATTGTAATTAAAAGTTATTCGTTAAATCACTACCTAACTAATTTTACGCTGTGACTATTACGTAACAATATTTCGATTATAATAAAGCACTGTTTCATAATTCATATAAATATCGTATTAACTATTCTTACACAATGGAGACGTTATCGTTATCATTGCGCGTAATAATATTGCTCTTTCGATTACGTATAGCCTACGTATTAAAACAACGATCGTGGCATTAGTAACAGTTAATTCTATTACGTAACAATAACGATAAAGCCATTATTACGTAATAATGGTAGCGGCATTTTAACGTGTGAAACTGCGCTCTTCTATTACGTAATAATACACGAATTTACTCTTCTCGAGAACAGATTAATATCCGTTCCAGAGAATCTGTCATCTCCAATAAAACTGTTGTTTTTGATAATTCATTCCAAGACTTCGGAAATTAAAATGTTCGTCACAGAACTACGCTATTTTCACATAAAATACTAAACACTGTAATCGAAAATTAAAACATAAAACAAATATAGGAATTATCCAGAACACAAATTCGTATTGCTGATTGGTTTACCTATCTTAAGTGCTTTTTTTCTCGTTGCTAATTGGCATATCTACCGTAATGGTGCCGATTGGTGGCAATATCAAAAAATTCATCGTAAAGTGAATAATTTTTAAATTTCCATCTCCAAAATAAATATATAAAGACATAAAAATGTATATTCTACATATAAATGATGACCCAAAAGTCAGTTAACCGTTTGTTAGATTCGTTTAGCTATTACGAACAGATTTTAACGGTTCTTACAATTAATCTGGGTTGAGTAACTTTTGGGCCACGGTCTAATGCGACGATGACATTCGAGGCAGTTTATGACATAAAATAATAAGATTAATTTATTTTTTGATGTATTTTTTTTTTAAAAAAAAGTGTTAATAGAATAAAAATTGAAATTGCAAATCTTTTTTAACAATTATTATTTATTAGTTTTTTGAATAATAATCACATTTGGGATATCGAGAATGGCGCTTTTCGTTTCATGGAGAGATTGGTCGAATTGTAAGTAGGATGTATAATATATATTTTTAAAATAATAATAGTGATGTAACAATTTCTTAAAGTTTTAATATCATTCTGCTTTTAGAGATCTTTCTCATAACAGATTACGATTTCTGAGGCAACACATTTTCGATTCTCTCGTTAATTTAACAAAACTGTAAGTAAAATTTCTTGCCTTATTTAAGTTATTTTAATATAATATATATTTACTTTTAAAATATAATTTTAGTAATCTCTCCTTTAATCCGTTGACGTCACTGCCTTTAACTGTGTTTGTCGGTCTTAAGAATCTCAAATCTCTGTAAGTAGCGACATTTATTACGACAATTCGAAATAACTAATAATATGCCATATTTTAAGGATTAAAAAAAACTATTATTAATTCGTATTTAAGGGCGAAAAACAATTATTTTTTTTAAATACAATTTAACTTTAAATCGTTTAAAATTTCCAAAAATTCACGTTAATATGATTTGAAAATTCGCTTCTTCTGTTTTGTAAATTGTTATAGTAGATGTGTTTTAGTTTTCTTGAATTTTTAATTATTAATTTACGTGCATAAATAAATTTTTCACGTTTAATTTAACTTTTATAGTTTAAAATTGATTTCGCCCCTCAGAGAATTGTAGTGACGTGTGGCACTCCGGGCGAATTGTGCGGGCGACAGATACAATATTCAAATCAATTAGAGACAAAACTGGATGAGGTATTAATCAAACTTTCGTTATGTAAACAAGTCGTTTTACCTTGGAAAAAGATAAACAAGTTGTTTATAAGTTCTCTCGAAGGCACTCGTTTTATTGCAATTTCTTCTAATTGTAGAACTACAATAGGAACTCTTTCCCTCTCGAGAAATTATCTCCGATAGAAATGGAAGGTATTTGTTCAAAAGATTAATTAATTTCGATAAGGACTTGAAAATAATTTCGTAAACAGAAGAAAGACGAGAGAACAAACACAAAAATTATTCAATAATAACCGAACAGAATAAATAGAGACTTGAACCAGCCAGAAAGAATGTAATCCGTGTAGTGTACGAAACGTGCTAATTGCATCAGGAACAAGCGCATACAGAGTGGCCATAATTAAGGTTTCACTATTCAGAGCAATCTCTAGCTGTAAACAGTAAGCTGGTTGACACTAAATTTTGCATAAAGTCTATGCAAAGGACGTAAAATTTGTATATAGACTACAGGGGAAAAGGATTCTGCAAAAAAATTTGATTAAAAACTTTCGCTGGGTGGCATATTGTTTATCATAGAAATTTGCAATTTCACACTTAATTTAAAGGATCGTATTGCACGGCACCTGTGATGCATAGTTTTGTTTCACGTAAAGCTCCCCTAGTGTCTTTGAAGCATTTTTTTTTGCAAAATCTTTTCAGTATTCTTTACCGTACGCAAATTTCGATGTCAATCCTCTTATTGGTTACAGAGTGCTCCGAATAGAAAAAATTTACTTACGGCCAACCTGTACTTTCATAACGAAAGTTTAAATTCGATTTTCGCCGGGAGAAAGCGATGCTATTAAATAATCGCGCGGTCCTACATACGCCGAAAGGGCATTTTCTGCACGCCTATCACGAGCTGGGCCAGGTTCCTAATGGTATGAAAATAATGAAACACGGGCCCGATATATCGCGCCGAATCATCTATTAAATATGAGAATCCGACCTAACTCGTCCCGAGTTATACGAGTAGCAACACGAGCAACAACAGGACGTGGTACCAATTCACTCCAAATACGTTACGTAACTGAAGACTAGGCAGCCAGAACTCGAATCCAATTAACATAGATTATGAATTGGTCTACTTTATCATTGGAAAATATTGTGAAAAACTTATCTATTTAGAGCATTTTTAAGGTAGAAAGCTACTGTGTTGAATTTGTTACGATAAGGAATAAATTATGACTTTTGCCATTAAGACGAGATAATGAAGACACGAATTAACTATGGAAAATCACGAGAATCCGAAAGTACAAAAAAGTCCATAAGAAATTATCATCATTAAAATTATATACAAACTAAAAATTCCCTAAAATATGGCTGATTATTATATTTCTTCCGGTGATTTACTTATCAGACTAATTACTTTTCAGCGATTTAAAAGGATTTGGGATTTCGAACATAAACGTTCAACATTTTAAAGATTTGAGCAACTTGGAATTCATGTAAGTGTTTTAGTAATTGTTAAAGTTACCCGCTTCCGTGTTAATTAATTTTTTATTTTAAAACTAAACGTAGCTACTTCAAGAAATTCCATTACTGCAGTTTCACACCGTACGTCCGAATTTGCACTCCAAAAACGGACGGTTTATCTTCCATGGAACATCTTTTAGTATGGCCCGTGCTTCGTCTCTGTGTCTGGTTTGTCGCTCTCATGACTTGTTTGGGTAACATTTTGGTCATTGGATGGAGGGCTTTGTCGCGAAAAGAAGACCACGTTCTCTCGCTCTTCATTAAGAATCTCGCTGGTAAGAAATTAATTAAAATTCAATATATTCACAGTGATCCGTGATTTTTGATTGATGAATTTTGATCCTCAACGCACGAGGTTTTCGCAGAAATACTCAGAATTAAAAGGGGTGCAAAATTAAAAGTACAGTACAAACATTCATCCAATTTCTACCGTTAGATGATGCAGCTTAGCGAACGAGGTCATTACGTAACATTACAAAAGTTACAGATAAACGAATTGGCATGTATTGTACAGTACGGGCGGTAGAAAGTTTAGTATATTTTTTAAAGCTCTTTCCACCCTGTAAGCACTAAGAAGCCTTTCTTTTACGGGGCTGGCCGAACCATAATGAGTTCGGCCAGCCCCCATAACGGACAACCCCGAAAAATACTTAGGGTTCGGGTCCACCATAGCGGTAGGCTGCCACTTAACGGTTCGACCATTCGTTTGAGAGGGTATTTGATCTAGTAGTAGGTTGTATATATGCGCACCATCACCGGCAGAAATTTTAACTAAAATGTATACCAAACACTTGTACGGCACTTTAACAAAAATTTCGTGACATTCCGAGTATTTCTGTAAAGATTGCGTGTGGTTGGGGTCGAAATTTGGTAATGCAATACCATCGGATAACTCGTAACGTTTTATTCCGAAAAACAAATAAATTTTCATCAGAAACTACCGATAACTAATTACAAATTGATTTTTAGTTGCAGATTTCCTAATGGGAATATATCTTTTGGCAATCGGATCTCAAGATATCAGCTATCGAGACTTTTACAACAGACACGCTCATCTTTGGATGTCCAGTTGGCAATGCACCGCCTGTGGAATTTTGGCCATGCTATCGTGCGAAGTATCCGTTCTCATACTTTCACTCATAACTCTGGAACGTTATCGGTGTATAAGGACAAATTACCGGGTGGTGACAGTTTCGACAGCAAGATACAGTCTGGCCGCCGTTTGGACATTCGGAGTCATTTTAGCATTATTTCCCACCGTTCTGTGGACGAGCGACAGATCCTTTTATTCCAGCAACGGATTTTGCTTTCCTCTTCATATCGACGATCCCTATACTCTCGGTTGGCAATACTCGGCTTTCATCTTTTTGGGAATCAATTTCTCGGCCGTGAGTACATTTCTCGTTTGAGAGATCGAGGAATTTATCGTAAAAATTAATCGATTAATTTCTTTCAGATGATGATGATCATCATCCTGTATCTAAGAATGTTTCACATAATTCGTCGCGACCGGCAAAAATCTCGGCCCGTGATGCTAAAGAAGCACGAAGATGCCGTTTTGGCATTACGCTTTTTCTTCATCGTGCTCACCGATTGTCTTTGCTGGATCCCCATCGTGGTCATCAAGATAATTGCCTTCAGCGAAATTGTCATATCTGGTAATACTTTAAAAGTCGATATCGAAAAAATATGACACGGGCTCTTGCTCGACTTTCTTGCACTCCAATAGGAGGTTAAAAGAACATTAAGAAGCCTGATAATTTTCAATTATACTAGGAATTTCCCCCATTTTTTATTTTTCCTCTTTTGGATTCGGAAGTCTCAAAATGTCGAGATTTGCGGAAAAACCCGGAGTGTCTAATCTGACACAGATACAATAATTTCTCGCGTTATAACAGCCAGGATGTAAAACGTGCCACCATTTTTAACCATGTTATACGTTACGTTTTCTACAAATACATGGTAAATAATTTTCTTAAAGGATTATCACACAATTAAAACCGTTGTTGCCTTGTCTACAACTTAAAATGCATGTTAAACACATCGAAAATCATGCCGATCTGTACTCAAAGAGAAATATAAGAGCAATTTGTGTGTAGAATTCGTAAGTTGTGTACATTATTGTTAATCGTAGGCCTAATCAAAAACAGTGGCTTAAGTTTAAAACGTAGACCGGGCGTAGAATCCCAGACCTTAGATCTAAACTCGTTTCCCGTAATCGACTTTAGTGTAATATTTTACAGTAAAGGTAAGTAAATAACTAATTATTGTCTTTTTAATTTTATTCTTTGAATAGAGAACCTCTACGCTTGCGTGGTTATTTTCATTTTACCTATAAACAGCGCTCTCAATCCTGTGATATATACTATTGCGGCGCCAACAGAGTTGAGGCGGCGGTTAAGAAAAGCTTTATCGCGATTGTTAATATGTCAAAAATGTTTAGAAAGATTAATGCTTTTAGGCAAGTATAAATATATTATTTTTTTAAAAAAATCCTTATTATTATTTATTATTAATTATAACTTTCGTTGTTGTATTAGAATCAAAAGCCGCCACCTCTTCCATCTTAACTCAAAGCATCGGTTCGACGGAAGTCAGATCGCTTAGTAATGGCTCTCTTCTAGCGACGGTGGGAAGATCTTCGACTAGTAGCGAATCCAGCCGTCGAATGACATATTGCGGCACAGAAATTATCGAGAGAGCGGAAACTGTCGTGTAATCGAACCCGACGTCACCGGTTTTTTTAAATAAGAGAAAACATTTGTAAATATACACACGATCATTGACTTTGTATCATTGTGTTTTATGTGTCAGTAAATATATTTAAAATTCTGCCTCGTGTGCTCTTTAAATAAATATTTAAATAATTATCATATCTTTAAATGCAATAATAATCCACGTTAAAATTTCTGGTATACGGTACTGTACCAAAGTTGTCGGATTTTCTAGACACAAACTAGATATATAATTAAAATGTATAAAATGGGAAATAAAGAACGAAATTGCATTTAACGCAACATATGTCAGCAGTCACACTAGAAATGGCGTGTTTTGACGCGTACGCCTCAGAAACCAAAACAAAGCAGCAGCGCGTAGAACTACAACTGTATGGTCCGCCAAATTCAAAACTAGTTTCAAAAATACCCGTTTTCTAGCAATTTTGAACTTCCGGAAGCCGGACATTTGATCCGATACTGTATAAACTATACGTTAATCCAAAAACCAGAAATCAACATTCGTACAAATTGTATTATGGTGCAGAACGGGATTCGAAACAGTTCTTTTCGTGTTCAATTTATAAAACTATAAATAATAAATTCCAATTTATAGTTTGGAATTTTTTATTTATTACAACTTCGGCTTCTCGCTTACAGTCCGTCCTTTCGAGGAAGGCGGTTTATCTGTACTGCAGACTGTATGCATAATTCAGTTTTCGTTATGTTTTCTCTTTATAAACTGTTAAAGTCGTTGTTTATTTCTTCCGTTCAGTTTTGCTTTCTAACATTCTTAAAATCTATCGAATTTGTCTCCCCATTTTAAAAACTTAAATAAATAATGTACTTAGTTGCAAATACCCCGAGTATTTTCCTTAATTTTTAAAGCAAATATTGTTATTTCCTACTGTCTACCTCGGAGGTCTACGGGTCCCTCAGAACTGAATTTCTTACAGTCTATCTATGGAAAAAATCGACTAGAAAGCAACGTCACACGGAATGTGGCTTCGATTAAACTAATCATCACATTTCTTAATGATATCGGCACGCTTTGCTTAATTTGTCAGGCAATGTGTGAATCTTATTTTATTTTCTCTTGGATGGCAAAACGACTTTTCCGTTAACCGTTTTAATATTTTATAGCATGCATTAACTGTAAAGAATCGTGCATTTAATAATTACTATCGGTGCACATTCATTCTGACGTACAGTACAGTACATACAACCGGACACAAAATGCATAATGGAAATTTTGAATTGTGCGGTGATAATCCTTTACTTGTGTAGTAATTAATTAGACCATTCTGGGTTTTATAAGTATTTCCTTTTTCTGGTTACGTTAACGTTAAAATATTTACCTAAACTACACAGTGTACGATAAAACCTGTCAAAAACGAAACCCGAATAAAAAGGAAACCGGCCTAAACGAGAGATTTTTTCGGAACGGAGCGATTTTCTAAAGAATCTGTTCAAAACGGAAACCTGCCAAACTGGAAAAGACCCGTACCGTGCCATTCCGGTTTACACAGGTTTTACTGAATATTTTATTCGTAAAAAAAGAGTTACGAGAAGAACATCGGCGGGATTTACCATTTGTATCGAATATATACAATAGACATTTTTATGCAGCCGCACATCAATATTGTCATTTAAACCACAATCCAAAACCACGGCACACTTATCGTATAATAAATCGTATAAAGCTGCGCGTGTCTAACGTTTAAGATGGAAGTCGAAATTAATAATTATGTAGATATAATTTATACTATTACTGTATCTCTATTTTCCATTTACAGTATGTCCTTTAGAATTGCTTATTAATGCTAGGATTTATCGGTTTGGTCAAAACAAAACTGATATTTGTACAGTAGGGAAAAACCTCAGAATAAGGCCCAACTACTATAATGAACTTCCTCGTATTCAAATGCCAGAACGCGAAGCTTCCATATCACTGCTTATAATGGCAGTGACGTGTTTAGCAAATGAGGAAGAAATCGGAAATAGCTGCCACTATTCAGCGATCAATGGCCGATGCTCATTGGTTAATATCCGAGTTGATTCTTTCCATAGACAGATTGTAATGGCGTGTGAAAAGGACTAGCTTTATACTTTTTACCCCAGAAATTTTTATCAAAGTTGGATCTTTGTATAAAAAATAGCAGAGAAATTGTACGGACTTTCAAATGTCTCTATTCGATACACGCGGACGACTGCCGTTGGAGTGTGTGGGGCCGAGTGGATAAAACCGCTTAACATCGGTAGTGGGCCGCGTGGAGTTTTCCGGGTTTTCTTCACGTTAGTAACAGCTAAATAGGAGCCAGTTTCCCATAAAAGACCACCCGCGGCAAATCTCCCACGTGTCACATTGCCGTGTACCAACGAAACAGTCTGCAATTAGAACACTACCGGCTTCCTCTGTTACTTATGCTTACGAAAGTTAACTACGTTCAAATCAAAACATTCAAAACCACATTTTACATGAATAACATTTCCGTAAATCGTTATCATTCGTTCGATATTTACGTATCGAGTACGATTGAGAACAGAGATTCGCCATCTGTCGGCTTTCAACCATTTAACTATAACAGTACGACAGGTAATCAGATTACCGATCGTACTTGGCGTCGTCATAACGATCACGTGGGACGATAGAATTCGAACTATGACGGTGGGTGAGGCTAAAAAGTTTTATTTATACACTAATACGCTATATTACTATCCGATTTAAATATTAATATCGAATAAACGTACTTACTGCGCAAAGTATTGGGAATGGCGTAATCGTAATTCGGGTACGAAGATACTGTATTCAATATTCCTAACTTCCGAATATTTTTCCTATCCAAATTATTCGTTTTTTTCCTTTTTTACTTGCGATAAAATCGTAGGCAAAGTTAGGAAGTTTAACAGACATAAGGCAATCCCGTCTGCGCCATTTTCGAATACTGAGACGAGGCCTAAGTATTTTAGTAGCTGTTTATATTTACGGATGGCAGATGGCGCGCGTTTCAATTGTACGGTAATTTTCGCACGTGAGTACCGGGCTTTAAACAGATTAAAGTCGAGACCAGACATGGAAAACTTACGGTCGGGAAGTCCCGATTAACTATATAGNAAAAAAAACCTGTTCAAAACGGAAACATGCCAAACAAAAAGATATTCGGCACCTTACCATCCGGATTGCACAGGTTTTACTAAATTATTACTGTATTCTTCCATACTTCTTACATACCTTACACCAAATTTTTTATAAATGGGTTAAACTTATAACTTTTAACAACGTTTACGATTGGTTACGAGTCGAATAATTAATCATTCAAATCTATTTTTGTTAAACTATCGATACATAACCACAAACATGGCGTCCAATAATCACGTGGCATGTCATACATTCGTGATACACTACACTACTCAACTTAATGTTAAATTATATTAATTAAATATTATTCGGTTAAGTATTTATAATTTATTTCTTTATCCTCATAGATTACTAGATGACAATAAACTAGAAGAATTCGATTTTTCCATATTGGCCGATACTCCTTCTCTTCATTTATTGTAAGTACGAAAAAATTGATATAAGTCGCGTAAAATACAGGATATTTGTATTTATAATTCAACATAAGAATCATTTTTAGAGATTTGTCTACAAATTCTCTAACGTTGAAAAAAGTTTATTTTCGAGCTCACCCGTATTTGCGATGGTTGTAAGTACTTAAAAATATATTTTACCCTTTATTATAAAAATAGATTTTGAAAGTATTCTGAAGTTTTTTATGTAGAAATTCTAAGAAATTTTACGTAGAAGACACANTAATTTAAATAGCGCCTAACGTTTATCTCTGGTACCAAATTACTTAATATCTAATTAATAATAGCCCAATTAATTACGGCAATCGTTTGAAACAAAGTTGGAAAAAGCGTTATATCCTTTGATAGAATTTGCATATTATTTGAAAGTAGAAAGTTTACAATACCGACTGTACGGTTCCTATCTTATTAATGTTAGGTGCAGTTGGGCATGTCTGAAAAACCTTCCTAGAGCCCGCTATTTAAGGAAGAACGGCTTGAATCGTTGGTATATATCTTGAATTTTCTAAAGCCGTACAGTTTGTTAAATTTATTTAAATACGGTCGATGTCTGCAAGACAAATTGTCGTAGTATAACGAGTATAATAACGAACACTTTTATTGCTACCGTCTAAATATATTGGTTTGTAATGGCTTGACCAATTTTAAAATGTCGGTAATTTTCTAGAATCTTTTAAAGCCGTTGTCGTTTTGTATAACACGTGTAATACCTATTTTAGTTCACACTATTTAAATAAATTTGACGGCATCGCTAATTTGAGTAATTTAATATTTCTTCTTCAATTTTCGAAATGTTTGTCTTTGCCAGTTTATTTCGATACTGAACGTCCGTGTAATACAGGTTGCTTTGACGCCACGTTTCGTGTTTTACCGTTTTATACAAATCAATATGCTTTACGATCACGTCCGATTTTTATGGATCACGTTAATAGTAGTCCCGAAGATCCCCACTTAGCAGTAAAATTTTGGAACTCGGAACCGACAATTCTCGTACGACGGTCTTTTAAGATACACCGCAATCGTCTTATTTCTGCGCAGAAAAATTATATAATGTACCGTGATACACATCAAAAGCCATTGTTAACATGTCTTGACTGTAAACTACACTGGACGACAAAAAAAATAACGCACCATGGACTTGTTGGATTTGAATAAAAATTGGCATATGACATCGTCATTGCTAGACAGATATATGATTGCAACCATAAAACAAAAATATACTTTATTGTGCAGTAATATGCAATACAGTGCAGGAACTAATATCCTGTTGGGCCGCCTCTAGCGCGGATACAAGCTGTGATACGCCTCGGCATGGAGGCATAAAGGTCGCGAATAATGTTCTGAGGCATATCTGTCCATGCATGATGCAATTGGGACTCAAGATGAGTCAGATCCTGTGGCTGTCGCAGCTGGCGACCCAAGTGGTCCCACACATGTTCGATTAACGATAAATCTGGAGATCATGCAGGCCAAGGAAGTGTGGAAACGTTATGTAGGCATGCTTGGGAGACCGCTGCAGTATGTGGCCGGGCATTATCCTGCTGGAATATGCCTGTCGGAAGCCCTGCCATGAGGGCAACACATGTGGCTGGAGGATGTATTGCACATATCGTTTGGCTGTGAGGGTAGTACGCATGACAACTAGAGGTGTCCTACTGTCGTATGTTATGGCTCTTCACACCATAACACTGGGGGTTGGGCCCGTGTGCTGCTCCACGGTATAGGCCGGATTGACACCTTGACCAGCGGGCTGCCATACTCTCACACGGCCATCGTGAGCCCCCAAACAAAAGCAGGATTCGTCGCTGAACACAATATGCTGCCAGTCGGTAGCGGTCCACGATTGTCATGCACGACACCACTGCAGACGGAGGCGTCGGTGGGTGGCTGTTAACGGTAGAACACATACTGGGCGTCGGGAGATCAATTCGCCTTCTACTAAGCACCTGGAAATGGTGCGGCTGGATACACTGTTCCGTAATGCAGGTGCCATTACTGCATGAATGGTAGACGATGAAGCTGTAGGCGCTGTCCGTGCTTGACGTACAATGAGACAATCCTCCCTTCTGGTGGTCTGTCGATAGCGTCCGGAACTTGTTTGCCGTTCGTGTGTACCCCTACTTACCCACTGCTCATAACACATCCTAACAGTTCTATCAGAACGGTTCAGATGGCGGCCAATCCGGCAGTATGACCATCTTCCTCTCAATCCAACAATGCGACCTCTCTTAAACTCACTTAACTGAGTGTAAGGCTGTCGAATGCGTCGTAGAGGCATGTCTGTCACTCAATGAAGTCAAAACCATGAATAAAAGTGCAGAACATATGCACAAGTCGTCACAGCGTGCACCTTTATACCAGGCAGCGGAAACATTTTTTCCCCTCTGGTGGCGATATAACATAAGAACCTACTCTCAAAAGCTAATCATTTACATATCTAGCTAAGATGATGCAACATATCAATTTTTATTCAGATCTAACAAGTCCTTCATGGTGCGTTATTTTTTTTGTCGTCCAGTGTATATTAATATATTGTTAAATGGATCTTTTAAGAAAAGAGAAAGATCTCTTAATTGTAACGAGGATGTCTGCAATTTCCAAGCTCCGGATGATCGGGAAACGTGCAACAATATTTCTTCCAAGAAGGTGTGATAGAGGGGAAAAAACTTGCGCAGACTTTAATTTTTATAACTTTTAATATTGTAAAGAAAAATACACAAACTAAAAACGTTTATTTTGACGCAGGCCGACAAATCTTAATTTTAAACTGTACAGGGACTTCTCTCCCGACGAGAACTCGGTATTTACAAAGCCTTCATAGAGCTCCTCTTATTTGTCTTATATGGCACAATATGTCCTTTTTCGTAATAATTCCCAATAACCTCCTAATTTTAATTACAGATATAATGGTTTATTATTTTGGAAGAAAAATCTAAATATGGTTAAGAGATTGGACTTACCCGTTGTGGATGACCAACGTCTGTCTCAGACCTAATTTTCTAAACATGTCTATAACAGTTTCCATGGGAGTCTGATCAGTGATAGTTATGGGCGCCTGAAATTTCCAAAATTTTATCGTTTCACGAGAATAAAAAGGATCCGAATTTCTGAGGATTCCACTTACCAAATCGACTATTTTTCTCAGTCTCAGTGGCGGAGGATCCAACCACGCCGGAGAAGCCAGGTCGGTGAAGAGTACTTGAGATTTTCCGGAAATGCCTTCGTGAGTTTTCTTTGCATTCCCTAAGATTTAAAAAGTATAACAACTGAAATTCTGAAAACACTCACAAAATTTTAACTATTTAATGGTGCCCGCCGCCGGGCGAAACTGCCAAACTGGTCGTGGCTCCACATACTACGCCAATGGGCTGGCTGAGTGGAGTTTTCGGCATTTTCTTTACGTTAGTAACTGCTAAATGAGGGCCAGTTTTCCAGACCTTTCATGAGGCATCTCCTCGACAGACCATCCACATGTCACTTTGCCATATACGAATAAAACCAAACCTATACTTAAATATTAACATCCAGGAAACTACAACTATGGAACACAATTTTCTGAATTATTGGGCATGTCTCGCTAACATTAAAATGCATACGAGACATCAAAATAGCAAATTAATGACAACTATGGATTCATGACTGGTACAAAGCCACTAATGTTACTTTACAACAATTGTAAAACTCAATGTGTATGCAAATGTAAGCAGTGAGAAAAGTATAAGAAAACAGAAAGCAATTTCAAATCTGTTAGGAAACTTCAATATTAGTAATTACCACCTTATTATAAGCAATATATTAATACATATAATACAAATGATTATCGTTATAATATTTTTACACATATCTTGTAATTTTATGCTTGATTTCATGTAAAAAGTTAATTGCTTTCAGTAAAAAATGCTGCCAAAATAACACTGAAGAAAAAAATTTCTAAATGGCCTAATCTAATGCCTCAAAGACCACTAAAATCTAAACATGAATCTAAAAGGCTTTAGCGTTTATGCAAATTCTGCTAATTTAAAGAATGGCATTTTTCATAATCCATTATATGGAGCTGGATTACAAATGATGACAAATGCATAAAATTGTCAAATTTTAGTTTAAATGCAACTTTCTTAAAAAAAACCACCCATACTGAAAAAATAAATTTCCTAATTTTATTGTTTTGTTATAAAATCACAAAAAAATCCTTGATTAAACATTATTTTTTCTTGTTTAATATCTTCTGTTCAAAACTGTTCTGAACTGTTTGGTTCATTCTTTAGAAAATTGACAAGCTAAAAAATTTGTAAATACTTTTTACTAAACTTACTATTTCATTAATGTTGTTGTTCTGTTATGTTGGCATCACTATTGCTTTCTGATCTTAATTAGAAGGGCATGCTCGACATTTTATTTATTCTACCAAATATAAAGCAGCTCCTACAGAGAATTTTTCATTAGATCATGCTTTGTAGTTATCCTGTCAACAACATTCAGAGATTTTTTTGTCTTGTTAAATTTTTTAAGACTTGCGTAATTGTTAAAATCAAAAATACAAGTTATTTGCAGGCACTAGCAAAATATTTTATCACCAATACATTATAGTTAGATTTAGACAAATTTCTGATATTTAAAGATTATTTTTCTACATTTTGAACATCTAATTTTAAGGATAATAGAATATTTTAAACTGTACATTTAATATTTATTATCTAATACACTAGAAAAAGTTTAATACGTTTGTACTCACTCAGTGCAAACGTCAAGTCCGTCCTGGCTACGAATCCTACCAAATATTGAGATTCCTTGGAAACCACAACTGGAAATCCATTATAACTTGTAGAATTCAGCAGACTTTCTGGTTTGATAAAAAAAATTCACCCAATTAAATTGGTCAAATCCCAAACTCTCTTTCCTAGTTTGTTAATAGAGACTCACCTATGTCGTCCAAAGTCATGCCGTCTTGCGTAATGACTTGTAAAGGCTCTTCATTTTTTCTGATTTTTTAAATATATATTTAAAAACAAATAATTAAAATTCAAATCGTTAAGCAACAAAATTATTACTTGGGCTTCATGGCATCCGCTGCCAGCGTGGTCTCGGTAAATTCTGTCTTGTTATCCAGAAAAGGGTAGCAGTTCAGCTGTATGTGGGCGTCGTAACTTTGATAATGTAAAGGATTGCAAACAAGACACTGATTATTTAACATCGGAATCTAAGGCTATGAAACCGGCAGCAATTTCACTCATTATAGGCAAGTTCACTTGCAATAGAATCAGTATGGAAGAGGGACAACATTCCAACTTGTCGTTTGTAACGAATCCAATCTAGACCCCACAATTTAAGTCCCAACCGCCAATCTGGACAGTCAAGGGCCGGGTGGTCGAGGAAGTTAAATGAATCTAGCAAACATTTAAAATTTTTCGTCGGTGATCTGTCCCATCACCTGACAACCCATTGCGGGCCAGGTCAGGCTCATGACAGTTATGGGAAAAAAGAGCTCTCTTAGCATCCATAGAACAAAAATAAATTCCAGATGGTTGTGCAGTAGCTAATGCCTTACTGCATAACCATCTGTCCAATCTTGGATGTAAACTATTTGCAAAATCAGTTTAACATTTCATTGTCTCAAAAGAAACTTACCATTAAATTTGTATGTATTGAATAACTGTACAACTCTCCAAAACAGTGTGAAATTGAGGATATAAGGGTATGTATGTTGTTGACCATAATACTAGGTAATGAAATAAAAGCAGAACTCATTAGTGGTGGTGAAAGTAGCTGGCAACACGTGACAAAATGCACTTCTCATACCACTAGGTCACGGCATCACCTAGTCTGATTCAAGTCGTCACCAACTGTTCACACTACTACTCATGACTTATACTTTTCTTTGATCATCTGTTTTTAAATTCATTCATTCAAGAAAAGTCCCATATTTTATTTGCAAAATTCAATTATTATAAAATATAAAATGAAGCAAAAAATTTGCTTCATTTTATATTTTATAATAATTGAATTTTGATTTTTATACTGTACATTTATTTGATTTGATTTGATTTATTTTATTTGAAATGAATTTGCTTCATTTTATGAAATGATTTTTTTTTCATTTTATGTGAGTTTTCATTTCCAATAAGATTCTGATGAGTACGGAATCTTAACATAAATACAAAATATTTTGCTTCGTAAATCATCTTTACATTTTGAATACTACAATCTGAAGAAATCAATTTAAAATTCCTTACAACTTAACTCAGTATCTCGTAATAAAAAGGATACATTCCTTCTTTTCCAAAAGCATCACCCACCCACTTGCTGGTCATGATAGCCACCATAAGAGGAACAATGTAGTTGACGCTTCCGGTCATCTCGAACATCACCACCACCAGAGAAACTGTCCGGTACATTTATTTTTATATACAAATTTTAAAACCTAATATTTAAATTTTTATCAAATGCTATGAAATATTAATACAAAAGTTCAGTTAATACAAAGTCTGTACTAATACAATCAAATTTAATTTGTAGACAATACTTAAACTTAATTGTTTAAGATGGGTGTAAAATTGGAAGCGATACCTCTAATACATTTAATTATAATATTAAAGTGACTGTTTAAGTTATGCTTGTGGATAGAAATAATCCTAACTTAATTTTGAAGTTAGAAATTCTGTCAAATCTAAACTTAAATAACAATGCAATTTTAAAATATTTTCACAAAAACAAAATTCATTTGGCAGTTTTGTTTTGAGAAATTTAAATTTTGTAACAATCTCACTAAAATATATTGGATATACAATTCACATAAGAAATTAACAGCTGGATTCCTTTATTCCTTAAATATTATAAAATTAATTTATTATTATATCTAACAAGGGGTAGCAGCCTGGAGGCCTGCCTCCTGCCAAATTGATTAGTAATTATTTTTAGCCTTAATAGCCTGATAAGAGAATACAACTATTAGTTTTTATTATATATAAGTTCACATATTGATACATAAATAATTGGTAGAAGTTTACCTAGGTAGTCCCAATGGTGGCACTTCCAGAACCTTGACAATACGAAAGTTTTGAAAGTTAATCTAGGTGTCGCTGTCTTTAGTTTGCAAGTTTCCTAATGTCATTTCAATACTAAAATAATTTCTTAACATTTTATAACTGTGTTAAGAGTAATTTAAATTTTTAGGTTCAAAAAGTTATGTACTGTTGTGTAAATCATTTCTTTTCGAAACTTATAATTCATATTTTGTTGTTTATCATTGTAATGGCAGAGCTTGGAAAACATCAACAATTTTTATGGCAGAAGTCTGCTTCAAGAAATTACTTTTTCATTTTATAATATTGGAATATTTGGAATTTAATTGTGACAAAAAGAAAAAAATTGTGAAATACATCAGTTGTTACGTTTGCCATAAAGTTTGGTATGCAACCTGCAGATGCAGTTTGTTCGAAATGTGATGGTCGTCGTAAATTAAATTATCGAAAGAATCGTGATTCTGTTTCTTTCAGATATCATAATTGCAAGACGAACAGTTCGTCATTTGAAGTAATTAAACGTAAATTTGGGAAAATTTCTTGGGAAATTACTTTTTTGTTTATTTGGCATCTAATTTGCATAGAATACACGTTGAGCATCAGCTGTTTGGCTATGGGCATGAGTAGTCGAACAGCTGTTGAATGGGCAAATTTCACATGACACATTATGATTGTTTCATCATCTAATTTTACTGAAACGAAAATTGGATGGACCTGGAAAGGTTGTCAAAATCGACAAGATTGTTTTGAGCAAAATGAAAAAACTAGGAAAAAGGTTCGACCTGTTTGTTCAGCATACGAGTAAGTTTTATCCAAGAGCGAGACATGTTTTAGTTTGAAGAGAGCCAGATATTGTACCTTCAGTCGTGAAAGTAAGTGCCAAATAAATTCGAAAATTGTAAGAAGAAGAATGAAGAGATGTGTGTTAAGAATGTAGAAAAAGTTTCTATGATGGAAAAGGACAAAGTTATCATAGAATCATCCAACCATGTTTTTACTGAATAAATTGGAGAAAAGGTATTAGAAATATGTCAATGGTGAGTAAAAGATTATTTCTTCAAATGCCAGTGTAGTAAGCAGCTGCGCCAGTTGTCATCTTGTTTGTGGACATCGCATTCGCAAACAAGATGGCCAGAAGTGCCGTCATTGGGACTACCTAGGTAAACTTTTACCAAATAATCTTTAAAAACCTTTAAAATGAGGACTTTTTATTACAGCATCTAACGTTTTCGGTCAGTTAACTGACTCTTCAGGAAAGAATAAAAAAAATTCCTATTTCTATGAAATGATACCGAATCAGTTAAATAATAGAACCGATGCTGTAATAAAAAGACTGTGTTTTAAAGGTTTTTAAGGATTATTTATTTATTTGTAAGTGCAGTTAGAGAAGAACATATTGATATCACTCCATTTTTCTATAAATAATCTTTTATTCTTTGATGATAAGTGCATTATTTCGCCCTAAAAAAGTTTGTTTAAAAATTAACTAAAACTATTTATAATTTTGTTACCAACAGCTCTATCATGCTAAAACATTTTGCTATGACAACAAACTTTGTATCTCAATGTAAGTAAACAGATCGTTGTGTGGCAGAAGGGCATATGCTTACGAAAGCCGATCACAAATACAGGGTATTCTGCTCAAAAGTATCCAATTTTAATTTGCCATAGAAAAATGAATTGTTTAAGATGTATAAAAACAACAAGTGACATCTTGTGAGAAATCTCATCAAGTTTTATAGACTTTTTTTCATATTGCAAGATGGTGCATAAATCGAATTGTGAGCATTACTGTTCAGTCATGGGTAATAGCTTAGCCACAGGAGAAAGTGCAGGTCATAATCTAGTATGCCTGTTAACGTGGCTGCCAAGATCTCCCAATCTGATCTCTAGATTTCTTTCTATGGGACTACATGAAAGATATGGTTTAGAAAATTTTGATCAGAGACCTTTGGATCTTTGGGAGCACATCATCGCAGCCCTCACCACTGTAAGATAAGATATGCTGCAGCTTATATACCAAGAAATTGCCCACCACCTAGATGTTGTCACTATGACTGCTGGAGCACATAGTGACAACATCTATATGTTGTCACTATGTGCTCACACACAAAAACGTGATTTTTTTCAGAGATATTTGGCAAGTTTTTATCTCAAAATCTTTGGTGAATTTATATCTTTAACCACTAATTTTTTATAGCCAAATCAAATTGGGTACTTTAGAGCAGAATACCTTGTATAATAAAAAAATTTTTATGTATTTATGTTTATACTCTAATGTCAAATTTATTATTATTGTTATAATATGCAAAATACATTTTATCTATATAACTAACATAATTAAATAACTATCTTATATAACAAAGTATATTAGAAATATCATATATGTTATAATTCATAGGGATATTTGTGTTCATTTTTAAAAAAATTGTTTTTAATATTTGTTTCTTATACACAGCAAATAAATATTCTTAAATCGATCTAAAACAAGAACTTACCGGTCATCCTCGTCACTCCGCCAAGACAAGCTGCCGCACCAATCATGGCATACAGCCCTGGAGTTATGCAGTTTTCACCTGTACGACACGCTTCACGAAACAGCCAGCTGTTTTTATTTGCACTGCAAGAGATAAACAGAGTTGATCATAATAAATGTGAAATAGGCATATTCATTTTATATTCTGTAACTGGCAGAAAATAAGCATTCAATTATATTATATTTAAAGTAAAGTTTAGATTTAAATCTTCCTCAATTTTATTTGTAGTGTGAAGATTTTGACTTTTTAAGGTCATTCCCTTAATTTGTCAAAATCTTCACTCTACAAATAAATCTGAAGATGATTTAAATATGATATTAGGCATGAATTAAAAATGTTTTCCTCTTGCATTTTTCAGAATATCTGCACAAACCAGTTATACAAATAAAATAAATTATTCTGTACAACTATTTATAAAATAATCTGAAAAACATTAAGTTTTGTTGATCAAAAATACACCAGCAAGAGAGATTATATAATAGGCTAAATTTTATTATAAAGTTTAGATGTATTTACAAACATTATTTTTATCCATCTGCTTCATACTTTAGATTATTAAATAATCATCAAGTCTTGATGATCAATCTCTAGCTATATGTAGCATAACCTAAAGACCAGTGTAAACTAGTCAACAATGTCTCTTTCAACATTATATCAGATTATATTTCTGTAGCCACGTGACTACTTTCCTTCAAAAATCTTGAAGGAAAAGTAGTCACGTGACTCTGATATAGCTATAAAGAACCAATGAACATTTCTTCAACTCCCTATAAACTATCACTTAGAAAAGTTTTGTACAAAATGACAAATCAGCAATCACGATATGCTGTCTTGTGTAGTTTTTATTGCCAATGGATTCATTAAAAGTATTTTTAGCAATATATATATTTTTATAGTTTCTATAGTTTAATGAAATAATTATGATGTTCTTATAGGTGTGATAATCATTCAAAAAATTGACTCAAAATTGCAGCTTGTAGTTGAAACAAATGTCATAAATATTTCACTATGCATGAGTGCTTGACAATTGTTGCACAAAAATTCCAATATTTGTGGAAGATACTGCCTAATTTTCATCAAACAGTATGATGTAGAGTGACATCAAATCAATGACACTGTGATCAACGGTCAAACCTACAACAATCATACAAAATTTAGTTTGACCATACCTGACCAGTTTGCTGCAACCAACTAGTTTGTGCTTGGCCTAATGAAGAATGTGTACCTGGGGTCTTTCTAATCAAGTTGTCTCAAGCCTATATGAGATGATGTAATAAATATAGCTGTATGGATCACATCAGTTACAGAGATAGCTAATATTTTTGGAGTTTCTCATTCTCATTTCAATAATATAAGTGTTTGAACAAATACTGTTTCAAATATACCTAATATTTTATAATTGGAACTAATGGTTATTAATAAAAAGATCAAAATTTGAGGCTCTTAAAATTTTCACTAAGGTCAAAAGATATAAAGATATAATGAAATTATCCATCAAACTTATGAAACTATCATTCTAAAATGCCTTGTAATCTAATTGTTTTGTTTATGCAAATTTATTAACTAGAGAATTGAAAGTATTTTAATGGGTAAAAAACAATTAACTTTTAACAATGCTTATTTTAATATGTTAAAATACAAAATTAAGTAAACTGACTCCAAGTTTCTTTGATAAACAAACTTCTTGAGAAAGTCTGCACTAGTGCCATGCCAATAACTGATGTATCAAACAAACCGATAAGCAATTACAATACAGTAATACCCCGAACTTACGCGATAGGTGGGACCAAGCAATAACCACATAAGTCGAATTCGCGTAAGTCGGGGTATAATTTTGCAATGTGTAAAATCCAAGTCGAATGTATGTAAGCTAATAAATGTTCTCTTTAATCTTATCTCGTCTTTTGATTCGTTCACGGTTACAAGAAATCACCACATAGAGTCTCTCGAGTCTCCGTAGATATAAGAAACACAGAAATAAATAACACAAAATAAATTGTAGCTACACGTCGATTCCGCTCGACACGTCTGAACATGTAAGCTGAACAATAGTGTGGGGGGAGTGAGTAATCAAGAGTTGCATGGTGCTCAAACAAAAGACAAATCTACGAGATTTGAAAAATCGCGTAACTCCAAGTTCGCATAAGTCGGGGTATTACTGTATTGATATATTGAAGGAATCTTGGTATCATGCCCAGAATATCAATATCAATTAGCATGGCCCTAGTCTGCACTACATATGTTATACAAAGTGAAAAATGTGTATTTTTAAAATAATTTTTACCACTTCTCTTAAATACAAGCAATGTGCTATTTAATTTACATAATAAAATTATGTAAAATTTATGATATTTACTAAAAGATTAAAACTTAAAAACTTAATACATTAAAATTATTAATAATTAAATATTTATAATTATCAAAACTATTTCAATTTACATTGCAATATTTTCCATTCCAATTCCAATTAATCTTCCAATAATTGCTCCCATGGTGAGGCTGGGTATAAAAATTCCTGAAGGAACCTAAATTAGAAACAGAATGTTACAAAATTCTGAAATGTTAAAAAAACTTGCTGAAGTATGTTTTTTTTATAATTTCAGTAAATTGTACCTTAATTCCAAAAGTGAATATAGTTACTAAAAGTTTTATTATTAATGCCAAACAGAGCAGCCATATTGACTGGTGCATTCCAGATCCACCACCCGACGCTTCCGTGTCTCCAGTTTCCATGGTGTAATTTCTAAAATCGTCGCTATAAGTAATTAATAAATATATTTTTGCCATTTAGAAAATTCTGTAAAAATTATAATTTATTAATTAAATATTTTACCAAAATGGAGAAGCAGCAATGTTGCATTGACTAAAGAGCAATTTTATAAGATTTCCCATGTTCATTCTGGTAAATTTGTTTGGATAATTAATAATGGCTGTAATTAATGCAATTACCAATACCTGGAAAAGTTTTAAAATGTAAAATTTACTTTTTCCTCAATAAAAATGTTATACAATAGAATCCACTTACGTAAAAAGTTTGAATCTAACTTATATTGGTGTTGATAACTAACCAACAACATTAAAAAGATATTAAAACTATTACAAAATCTATAACTTATAATTATTAATTAATATTAATAAATGTTCCAGCCATCCAGCACTGTTTTCCTGCTGTTCTTGCACTACTGTCTTTAACAGCAGCTAGTATATAATTGAAGTGAGGAACAGATAGTAATTTAAACTATTGCAAGCAAATAATAATTAAATCATTTAACACTTAAAGTAATGGTTGAGACTGATGACAATTGCATACTATGAATCACATTTGAGGTCCCCAGCAAGAAAAAACAGCTTAATAATTCCTATTTGATGACTTTATCCCTTCATACCTTATGATGGTGTGGCTAATGTGAAACAAATTTGGCCGGAAATAAATGACGGCAAGGCCAAGGTTTTTCTCAGAAGGACCGGAAAATGGTTTTTCTGTATTTTTTGGACACAGAATAAAGCGGTCAGAACATTTAAATAGCTGAAAGCCATAGCACCCCAGGATGTCTTATAGGGACAAATGGTCAGGGTCATGTCATTACATCTTGCACAGGCCAACATCCATGATGTCATGCCTATCTCTAGTAGCAATCACAAGTAACCCCCAATGTCCTTTTTGGCAATGTTGGATCATCAAAAATGAAGTCAGCAAAAAACCAGTCTTTATACATGCAATCAAAATTGTATACAATCAATTGTACAAGACAGTAATTTTCTGCCCGTTTTTTACGGACCTTTGATAAGAAGTAGTAAATTTTTTTAATCAAAATTTTTGCAGAGTTGGATGGCACATAGCATGAGCATGGACACACAGCTAAGTATGTCAGTTTGACAAAAATTGCTTTAAAAAAAATTTATAATTTATAAATTACTTTTCTTAACAAATAAAGTTGTTTCACCAAAATAAATAAATAATTTCAATTAAGTGATTAATCTGTAGAATTTTTTACAATGTACTTTTTTTTTTAAATAAAAACTAACACAAATTTTATAGAAAAAATTAAAAATTTCTAATCCTGTCTTTGATGCAAAATATTCAGATATAATGATTCTCATAATGATTTCTCCATAATGATTCTCAGTAATATGTCAAACAAATTACGCATTAAAATATTGAATTACATTACATATACACATTTTAAAAAATTGTATTAAATTTGAATGTAGATTACTCTCTGAATAGAGTATGAGACTGTGTTGAATTTCTTAATAAAATAAAATAGCTTTAAAATTTTTTGATTCTGATGAAACCGTGTTGTTGTTATTAAGCTGTTTCTTTGCAGACACACTAAGGTGACATATATCAACACTTGGCAACTTATTGACTATTTATTCAGTTGGTTTTACAGGATATATGTCACCTTAGTGTGTCTGCAAAGAAACAGCTTTAAAATTATTTATGTAATAAAATCACTTTACTTTCTAAAATGTACCTACAATATAAATATTAAAAAATATATACAATTACCTCAACAATTGGATGTTTTCCTAGTTTCGAAGTTTTTCGATAACGACACCACCAAATATTGCACTTGATAAAGATTGTACCGACGATACCCTGAAATAAGTCGGCTTTTCAATACAGATTACAAAAAGATTTTTAACAAAGCATTTAGTTTTAGAAAATTTTATTAAACTTGTAAAATATAGATAATTTATTACAGGAAAAAAAGACAAAATTCAAATAAGTTTCCTTTTTAATTTACAAAAAGTAAAACCACTTTTTAGCATTACTATTGGATTGCCAATTAGCTGATGTGATTTACAGTACATCAAACTCCCAATTATCCACGATAATTAGTTTATTTTGAACAGAAAATCAATTTAAACCATGAATAAAAATAAGATAATGTAAATTTAGATTTATTCTTTGACAATAAATTTATCTTTAGAAATAAAATCTTTATGCAAGTTCTAAAAACACTTCTCAATTAATGATCTAACTTTCTGAAATAATAATACAGTTGACAATGTTATTCAAAATTCCAAAAGCCTATCAGTTATCAGTTTTTTATGGAGTGTGGAGAATTATTAGTCTGAACAACAAGTCATTTACAAGTCGGATGTATCTTTGCTGCTCAGGATATTTAATTTACTTTTAGGTGACTTTTCAATCTATGGTAGTGTGGTGTTTTTCTATATCTAGAAATGAAGATCTAGAAACAAAGTATGTCAAAAATAATTTATCATCAAAACACAAAGGCTCAAATATCCCTTGTCAATCACATTGGTAATTAGTGGAATCCTAAGAAATCCTTACTTTTATCGATACCAGTAGAAGGTATGTAAATACAGCACTGCCATTCCAAAATCTAAAAAATTCTGAAATCCAAAAAGTGTCTGGTCCCAATAATTTTGGAGTATGTCAACTGTACTAAATATTTTACTTCAAGCATTAATTATACACTATTTCAATCAACCAAAGTTCAAATAAATAAGCTTAAAAAATTGTAGAAATAAAATAGTTTTAGTTTTTATTTTGTAGAAGGAAGAACAATTTTAATCAAAATAAAGCAAACCAAAAGGAGGAAATCTTAAGGTGATTTAAGTATAACAGAAGAAAGTGCAATGAATTATTTTACACAAAACAACAGAAAAACAGCAATCCTGTATGGGAAAAAGACTGTTCAATTGTAAATTACTAACATAAAAGCTCAAACTGTTCAAGGAAAACAACAATAAAGTTGTCTCTAAGATGATTTATGTATACAATAAAATTCATCAATTGTAATCATTTACAGACTTGCCTATATCAATAACACAAACAACTTACATAAGGTGGAGTAAGTAATTAAGACTACAATTAGTGGAAATTCTGGTTTCATTGACTCTGACACAAAAAAGATTGTTTAAACAATTATAAAGTTTACTTGACAATTTATTAATTATAATTATTAATACTAATTCGTCCAGAAAACAAACGAAGAAATGTCAGCAATTAAAACTACCATACAGTAAGTAAATAATTAAAACATCAGTAAAAAAAGTTGCAATGTTTAACCTTTAAAACAGTAATTAAGACTCATGATAATTGCATGCTATCAGCCACACATTGAGGCTAATAGTGATGACAATGATAACTATACTTGAATTCTAATTATAATAATCAAAGTTTAGTAAGTGTATTTATCTTAAATATGTTGGAACTTGCTAATTATGACATTAAAAATCAACAACAATATCCATGATTACAATGAGTCTACTGTATAAGTATTACATACACAAATACAATAATCACAATATGAATTTGTTTCGACATTCATCAAAATAAGTTTAAAAACATTTAATTTCAAAGAATTTTGTAACAGTTTTATATTAAAGAATCAAAAAACAGTTAACTAAATATCAAAATAAAAATATGCCAATATATATATATATAAAAATGGACGTGTGTGTCCCTATATTTCACTTTTCCGCAAAAACTACACATTGCACGTGAATGGTGTTTGTATGTGGTGGTAGCCCCAAGTCTCCATTCCTGCATAGGGGTGGTTGCGTCTCGATAGCTATAAGGGTGCGGGAGATATGAGGCTGAAAGTGGTTGAAAGTAGCTTTTTATTTTGAATGTTTTGTTCAAATTTGTTCGAATTAAATTCGAACATAAAATTCGAATATCAGTTCGATTATAGAACGATTGTAAATGTTCCAGAAACGTTGAAAATAGTTTGTTTGACTAAACATAAAAATTCTCTAATTAGTCTGGAAACGGGGGACCTAATTCTTGCATTCTGTGAAAACGGGCAAGATTAGCTATAATGTAATTATCTTAATCTTCACTATTGTTACTTTTTGCCCAGTGAAGCGGGTCCTTGCAGCTAGATTCTAGATTACTTAGAAAAACAGTCTTTTATATATANTTTATTTTAAAATATAATTTTTGCATATAAATAAAAAATACTAACAATTATAATAAATACAGTCAACTTGATAATTACTTCAAATAGCAGATGAACAGCTGATTCCCTTTGTTGAGCAATTAAAGTTAAACAATTATTAAGTAATATGGCAGGAGGTAAGCAGTTAGGCTGCCACCTCTTGTTAAATTTAATAATTAAATGTAAATAAATTTAATTTTAAATATTCTAGAAGAAAAGATTAGCCCAAAGTCAGACTCGAATCTACAACTCCTACATGTCTGCTTCCTACTGCAGACGTGTTGCCAGTTATACTACCTAGACCTTTGTGTAATCCTCCAGCAATGTATCTGCACATTAAGCAGGAGTTGTAGGTTCAAGTCCTGCTTTGAGCCAATCTTTTCTTCTAGGATATTCTAAAATTAAATTTATTTTATTATGTATGCAATAAAATTTATTATATGCTTATTTACAATTATTATCTATTTATTTGAGGTTTTACTTATTATGCATATTGTGTAACACATCATATTTTATAACACATAATAGTCGAGTCTTCACATCTGTACATTTGTGGTGGCCACAAAATTTCTAATGTTAAAGATTCAGCTACAGCTCATTACATTCGCTTTGTGATAATGGGACAAATGCATCTTCAGTATCATAATGAGCATCATCTAATTGTACAGCTTATGATATTTATGTTACATTTGTCAGCATTACGTTAGTTGTGCTTAAAATATTACAGTGCTTACACGAATACCCAAGAGTCAAAAATGAAGTGCATCTATTGAAGAAAGTAATGACTTTGTATTGAATCCAATAGTAAATAATCTGATGCATACCTTATTCTTAATTATGTAAATAAAATTTTGATATAACGTCTTCAAAAACATGGGTCCAAAATATTACAGATTATTGCAAAATATAATTCAAACTCCTTAAACACTCAAACATTTTTCTGTTAATTGTAAATGCTTAAATGCATACGTAGGAAATATTTGGAGCTATTTGAGTGAAAGTACAGATTTTAACTCAAAATATACCTAAATCCAATAATAACCAAAAACAATTTAATAATTGAACTAATGTTTTCAATCTCATTTAAAGATCATCATCATTTTTGTTACTGGATTTAGGTATGTTTTGAGTACATTGTGAGCAGTATATCCTGTTTTTTCAGTACAGATTTTGCAGAATTTCATCTTTTTGTGGACCATGTTGATATGCAATTCTCATATATACAGACCCCCCAACTGTAAATGCATTAAAAAATAATTACAAAAATTCATACTTACACCAAGAAGTCCCAGTATTATAAAAGGAAACAGTTCTACAAATATCCACGGTCTTTTATAATCCATATAGAACATGACAAGATGATCATTACCAAAAGGATTAATAGAATGTAGAACGAACGACGCAACTAATGCACAAAAAAATGATCGCCATAAGGTCTTCAATGGAAAATAATAACTGATCTGAAAATGAAATATTAATTATTATTTCATATTCAATTATTAAGTATTTTACTTAAATTAAAATATAAAACTTAGTATTTTCTTTTTTTAATTATATTAAATGATAAAATATTTATGCAGAAATTTAAACCAAGATTTCCTTAAAATATAATGTCATTATAAAAAAAGTTTAAGAAACATACTTAGTAGAAACTCCATTAACTGGGATAATGCTAAGAATGTGCACAAATAATCAAACTCACAACAACAGAATTTTGTATTTACAGCACATTTTTTTTTTATTTAACACCACAAATTCAATAGAAATTAAATAGAAAACTTGCACTGTACAATTAATTATAGACTTTTGTTCTAACATTAATTTCCAGTTAGCAGCCATTCTTTCTATACAAAAATAAAACTAAACTTGAAAAAGAAGAGAAAATACACACTTAAAACACTAACACAATGATTATTCTCTTATTTTAAAATGTTTAAGATTCAAATATAAACAAAACACCAAACTCTTGCCGAGCTTATTATTTTAATTTCAAACGTTTTCAGCCCAATTTCAATAGGCCATCTTCAAGAACTATTCGAATACAACTTTCGAATAAATTTTAAATTTAAACTTTTAACATAAACTGTAACTATTAACTATTTAACATATTTTTAAATATCACTGTAAACCATTAAATATTTAACTAAAAAATTTTAACATATTATATGATAAACATAAATAATATAAAAAATATAAAAAAATANGTATAATTTTTTATTATTTTTATATTTTTCAATATGTTTATTTTGTTTGTACAAAATAAAAAAATAATTTTTAACGATACAATAGTCTTTGTTAGGCTTAACATCAACGAAAATTTGACGCGAAGCGACACGCAACGGAGAAAAATTTCGGCATCGGATACGTTAAACTATTTTTTCGTACGTAAATCAGTTATCCGGACAACCCCAGTCCCCAATTGATTCGGAAAATCGACGCTCTACTGTATTTCTAACACAATCCAATATTTTCAATGAATTTTTACTTTATTTTTTATTTCTTTGCATGTACTGACTTTTACATAATGCTAAACTCTTCAAATGTGACATTATCTTAATAAAACTATCTTTACTAATAGAATAGAATATCACAAGCTGATAATTAACTACTATGTGCTAATATTCTAAATAATCTAGAAAATAAAATTATTATAAGCATTAGTATTATTAGTTTTAATAATAAAAGTAATAAATTGAAATATTAAAAAGCAAACAATTTCTAAAATTAAATTTTAAACAACGTAATAATGTATGTTTACTTCTTCCAAGCTGAACAGAACACCTCCGATTGGTGCACCGAATGCGACACAAACGCCTGCAGCAGCCGCTGCCGAAAGAATCTGGAAAGTAAATTTAATAAGTTCTATTTTAGAAATTTAAAATAAAAATAGATCCATTATTAAATAATCCATTAAATTTATAATTATTTTAAAAAATTAGTCAAAGCAAACAAAGTAGTTTATATTAAAAATTAAGATTATTTTGAATCCGTAAATATTTATACCGAGTTGTGGTCACTCTCTGCACCTTTTCCATTAACTAGCAATACCCTGCAAATACAGCAATACCTCGACTTACGCTACCTCAACTTACACAATTTTCAAATCTCGTCGATTTGTCTTTTGTTTGAGCGCCACGTAGCTCTCAATTACTCACTCCCCCCACACTATTGTTCAGCTTATATGTTCAGACGTGTCGCGTGGAATTGACACACAGCTACAATTTATTTTGTGTTATTTATTTCTGTGTTTGTTATATCTATGGAGACTTGAAAGACCCTATGTGGTGATTTCTTGTAACCGTGAACGAATCAAAAGACGAGATAAGATTAACAAGAACATTTATTAACTTACATACATCCGACTTGGATTTTACACAAATTGCAAAATTTTACCCTGACTTATGAGAATTCGACTTACACGATTATCGCTCGATCCCACCTATCGCGTCAGTTTGGGGTATTACTGTACTGCACAAGTGCAACTACAACTAAAGAACAAATGCCTGCGTTTTTAAGTTACCATGACTATTTAAATGGTGGAATACTGAAGCACTGAGTCGTAATCACGATTTATAGAATTAATCCATAATCATGTGCCTGTTGAATTTTTTTGTTAATATTAGAATATCATCAAATTAGAATACCCTTTTCATCTTATCAAAATGTAGAGGATGATCTGTTTGGTTCACTTTTCTAATTACACAATGTCAAGAATTTTGTCAATAAATTTTTAACTTTTTTACGGCCATGTCTCGAGCATCTCCCAATTGGGTTGTAAAACTTTTAGCCACTGCAGTCGCAATTGTCCACGTGGCCAAAAAGAGCAAATTGTGACCACTGCTTAAACAACAAACGATTCAACATTAATTCATTCCAAAATTTAAATAATTTTAAAATCTTAATTAAAAATCCCAATTAACGAAATTTCTATCATAAATGTATTGAGCGGAATCATAAATAACTTGTTGCTTTAGTAAATATTCATTTTTATTTTCTTTCCAGAAAATATCAAGCAATCAGGATATTAGCAGAGAGGCTGAACAGATAATCACAATTCATCATGTGTCATTTGGAAAAATTGACAAAGTCAATAATTTGGAAATATTAGTTCTACATTCTTAGTAAGAGTATTAAAGCAAACCAACAATCAATTGTAAAAAGGTCTTATTTCACGGCAAAACAACATACCATTTCTTAAGAAAGTCATCACTAATAACTAAAATCAGGTAGTCTAAGAGAATATTGTCTGAAAAAAAAAGAACCTGCAAATATTGATGGATTTAACAATTAGCTGGCATGGAAGAAAGATATCATTGTGCTTATGGTGGGATTAACAAAGCAACATTCGTTAAAAATTTCTGCAGATATGATTATTCAATACCATCAGAGGATGCAATAAAAACTGAGAAAAGCATCATAGAGTATATGATGCTTTATTAATTGAAAAAATGTGTTTTGTTGTGTAGTAAGAGCAACACAAGAAAAAATTGAGCTTGAGTGATCTGATATTCCCCAATCCTTATATTAACTGCATCTTGTCCCAACTAATTATCATCATTGCCAAGCTCTTCAAAATAAACTAAATAAAAAAAGTTTCAATAACGATGATCAAATTCAAAAGTTTATGAAAATGTCTGAGTCAAAACTGGACAACTCTTTAACAAAAAAAAAAACCAATAACTCAACTACTAAAGAAGAGCAAGTCATTATTAATAATAATAATAAATGTAAAATCTTTTGCCCTCTTCCTTATAAACATTTGAGATAACCAATTATCACAACTGCCATAGAAAAATGGAACTTTTTAAGAATTACATCTAAATGAATTAGGCTAATAAAAAATATAATGTCATTATAAAAAAAGTTTAAGAAACATACTTAGTAGAAACTCCATTAACTGGGATAATGCTAAGAATGTGCACAAATAATCAAACTCACAACAACAGAATTTTGTATTTACAGCACATTTTTTTTTTATTTAACACCACAAATTCAATAGAAATTAAATAGAAAACTTGCACTGTACAATTAATTATAGACTTTTGTTCTAACATTAATTTCCAGTTAGCAGCCATTCTTTCTATACAAAAATAAAACTAAACTTGAAAAAGAAGAGAAAATACACACTTAAAACACTAACACAATGATTATTCTCTTATTTTAAAATGTTTAAGATTCAAATATAAACAAAACACCAAACTCTTGCCGAGCTTATTATTTTAATTTCAAACGTTTTCAGCCCAATTTCAATAGGCCATCTTCAAGAACTATTCGAATACAACTTTCGAATAAATTTTAAATTTAAACTTTTAACATAAACTGTAACTATTAACTATTTAACATATTTTTAAATATCACTGTAAACCATTAAATATTTAACTAAAAAATTTTAACATATTATATGATAAACATAAATAATATAAAAAATATAAAAAAATANATAATTAACTACTATGTGCTAATATTCTAAATAATCTAAAAATAAAATTATTATAAGCATTAGTATTATTAGTTTTAATAATAAAAGTAATAAATTGAAATATTAAAAAGCAAACGATTTCTAAAATTAAATTTTAAACAACGTAATAATGTATGTTTACTTCTTCCAAGCTGAACAGAACACCTCCGATTGGTGCACCGAATGCGACACAAACGCCTGCAGCAGCCGCTGCCGAAAGAATCTGGAAAGTAAATTTAATAAGTTCTATTTTAGAAATTTTAAATAAAAATAGATCCATTATTAAATAATCCATTAAATTTATAATTATTTTAAAAAATTAGTCAAAGCAAACAAAGTAGTTTATATTAAAAATTAAGATTATTTTGAATCCGTAAATATTTATACCGAGTTGTGGTCACTCTCTGCACCTTTTCCATTAACTAGCAATACCCTGCAAATACAGCAATACCTCGACTTACGCTACCTCAACTTACACAATTTTCAAATCTCGTCGATTTGTCTTTTGTTTGAGCGCCACGTAGCTCTCAATTACTCACTCCCCCCACACTATTGTTCAGCTTATATGTTCAGACGTGTCGCGTGGAATTGACACACAGCTACAATTTATTTTGTGTTATTTATTTCTGTGTTTGTTATATCTATGGAGACTTGAAAGACCCTATGTGGTGATTTCTTGTAACCGTGAACGAATCAAAAGACGAGATAAGATTAACAAGAACATTTATTAACTTACATACATCCGACTTGGATTTTACACAAATTGCAAAATTTTACCCTGACTTATGAGAATTCGACTTACACGATTATCGCTCGATCCCACCTATCGCGTCAGTTTGGGGTATTACTGTACTGCACAAGTGCAACTACAACTAAAGAACAAATGCCTGCGTTTTTAAGTTACCATGACTATTTAAATGGTGGAATACTGAAGCACTGAGTCGTAATCACGATTTATAGAATTAATCCATAATCATGTGCCTGTTGAATTTTTTTGTTAATATTAGAATATCATCAAATTAGAATACCCTTTTCATCTTATCAAAATGTAGAGGATGATCTGTTTGGTTCACTTTTCTAATTACACAATGTCAAGAATTTTGTCAATAAATTTTTAACTTTTTTACGGCCATGTCTCGAGCATCTCCCAATTGGGTTGTAAAACTTTTAGCCACTGCAGTCGCAATTGTCCACGTGGCCAAAAAGAGCAAATTGTGACCACTGCTTAAACAACAAACGATTCAAATTTTTTTTAGACAATGTAAAAATCCCAATTAATAAAATTTCTATCATAAATGTATTGAGCGGAATCATAAATAACTTGTTGCTTTAGTAAATATTCATTTTTATTTTCTTTCCAGAAAATATCAAGCAATCAGGATATTAGCAGAGAGGCTGAACAGATAATCACAATTCATCATGTGTCATTTGGAAAAATTGACAAAGTCAATAATTTGGAAATATTAGTTCTACATTCTTAGTAAGAGTAATAAAGCAAACCAACAATCAATTGTAAAATGGCCTTATTTCACGGCAAAACAACATACCATTTCTTAAGAAAGTCATCACTAATAACTAAAATCAGGTAGTCTAAGAGAATATTGTCTGAAAAAAAAAGAACCTGCAAATATTGATGGATCTAACAATTAGCTGGCATGGAAGAAAGATATCATTGTGCTTATGGTGGGATTAACAAAGCAACATTCGTTAAAAATTTCTGCAGATATGATTATTCAATACCATCAGAGGATGCAATAAAAACTGAGAAAAGCATCATAGAGTATATGATGCTTTATTAATTGAAAAAATGTGTTTTGTTGTGTAGTAAGAGCAACACAAGAAAAAATTGAGCTTGAGTGATCTGATATTCCCCAATCCTTATATTAACTGCATCTTGTCCCAACTAATTATCATCATTGCCAAGCTCTTCAAAATAAACTAAATAAAAAAAGTTTCAATAACGATGATCAAATTCAAAAGTTTATGAAAATGTCTGAGTCAAAACTGGACAACTCTTTAACAAAAAAAAAAACCAATAACTCAACTACTAAAGAAGAGCAAGTCATTATTAATAATAATAAATATTATAGATATAAATTTAGGATCTATTATATTTTCTTTAATAAACTTAAAGAAAAAATAATTACAGTAGAGCGTCGATTTTCCGAAAGTTAATCATCCGAAAGAATTTCAGTCGGCAAACTTAAATTTTCGCCAGTGCTGTGGCACTTCAATCATTGGCTATGTCTTGGGCTACTCAAATATTTTACGTTTTTGATACTAAATTAACATCTGAAGTATAATTTTTTATTATTTTTATATTTTTCAATATGTTTATTTTGTTTGTACAAAATAAAAAAATAATTTTTAACGATACAATAGTCTTTGTTAGGCTTAACATCAACGAAAATTTGACGCGAAGCGACACGCAACGGAGAAAAATTTCGGCATCGGATACGTTAAACTATTTTTTCGTACGT